ACACACACACATACATACACACACACACATACACACACACATACATACACACACACACACACACACACACACACACACAAATCCTAGCTAACACAGATGACCCGTTTCACAGTATTTTTCAACAGCACACATCTAACATGTCTAAACATAAAATCTGCCCTATATATTCCATTCTGGCATGTACAAACTTGGACATCATGCCAGACATTGGCATCTACAAAGTTCACTCTGGAGAACTGGACAAATCGCAGTTTTAAAATCTGCAAAAGAAATTCCCATATCTTAAATAAGCTTATGATTATGTATTGTTGGTCTGCTTCTATAGCTATCCCAGGGTGCTTGTGGCCCTCAGGGTGCAAGCTGGGCCCACCTGATTGCTTTAGACATTTATGCTCTATTTCTCTTACTCTATATTTGCTTTTGGAAATACTTGGTAAATAACTAGTGTTTTCCATACCAATCCCTCGAGTGGTTTATATTTATGAGTCTATAATAGAGGAAAGAGCTTTGGAAAGACAGGCAGTGTGCAGCTCCCCCCTTCTTCCAGCTGCACTGTATCCCTGGCTTTGGCTTCTGAAGGAATGATGAAGAGGACAGTGACAGCCACAGCCTCCCCAGCTCAAGTGCGCTGGCATGAGATCATAATGGTGTGGGAAGTTGCTTAAGACTTCCAGGTGGCAATTTGTCCTGCTGAAGAAATCCAAACCATCAAGCCTCTGCTATGTGGGTGGTACTTGGCACTAAAGAGAGAGAGAACGGGGTCCCCAGCATCATGAAAGAGAGCACAGTGTCCACTCCATCAGCAATGTGTGCTGCAGCACTGTAGGGAGAGTGGCGGTTCTGAGCTTGTAACTGGCCTCATGATCACTGCTGCTGTGTGTGGCCAAGCCTTTAACCAATGGATGGCCTTACACTCGGGTACTGCTTCATCAAAGACTGTGAGATAGGTAAAGTGGGCATTATCACCAAGGTCTATTTGAAAGAACGCTAGAGGCTGGGAAGATGGCTCAGTTGGGGAAAGGCTTGCCTCCCAAGCTTGGGGACCTGAGTTTGCTCCCTAGAACCCACTTTAATGTCAGGTGTGGTGGCTCACATCTTTAATCCCAGCCTCGGAAAGGTAGCGATGGTGGATAAATCCCAGAGGCCTCACTGGTTTGCCAACCTGGCCCAATGGGCAAGTTCTAACTAAAAGTGAGAAATCCTATCTCAAAAAATGAGGTGAAGAGCAACTGAGGAAGACACCCAAGGTTGACTTTTCTCTCTCTGTGTCTCTCTGAGTCTCTGTGTCTCTCTGCCTCTCTCTCTCTCTCTCTCTCTCTCTCTCTCTCTCTGTCACACACACACTCACACACACACACACACACTCAAGCCAGCAAGATGGCTCACTGGGTACAAGAGCTTGCAACCAAGCCTGATGACCTGAGTTCTGTAAACAGACACTATCTGTATGCCTACCAATCTAAATGATGGAGATGGAAAAGAAAAATAGCAAGGAGGCTTTGTGAAATAATTTCATTCTGAGAGAACCATAGCTCACAGAATATTCACTTAGTTAATTCTCACCACAGCCCAGGGCTCTCTTCACATGCATGAAGCCATGGACTCAATCCCCAGCACTTAAAAAAAATAACATGTTTAAGATGCATACAAATGAAGCAAGCTACTGCTTCAGGTCACACGGCTTCAAAAAGATGACCTCTGAGACTGGGCGTGCAGTGCATACCTGAAATCCCTGCACTTGGGAGACAGAGGCAGGAGGATCCAGAAGGTCAGACTGAAGCCATCCTCGGTGATACAGCAAGTTCAAGACCAGCCTGGGCTACATTGGACCCTGTCTCAAACAACAAAAGGACAGGAGGACCCAGCTGAGAGTAGAGGATGGGCTTTTTCACACCCACTGGAAAGCTCTCTACAGACCAGAGCATTCATTTGGCTCAATCTCAGCTTTAACACACCCCTGAGTGCCCACTTATTACAGACAGACAGACACTTGACTTACCTTCCACTGTGCCCCTGAGAGTTCAAACACAAATGGATTGCTCTGTTTGCCTCTGTCCTTGACCCATGAACTCTGCCTGGCGACTGAATTCCTCTCTATCTTGTCCAGGATCCTTGAGTTGGTGTCTACAAAGCCATTCTTGCAGTACTGCGCCTGGGGTACACCCTTCCTCCTGCACTCAGCCACAAAGTCCCACTCCTCCTTTATCCTAAGACAGGAAGCAGAAGACCAGTTATTTCCTAGGGAAAATAAGCAGGCCTGGTTGTCCACTTCACTGGAACCTGGTTTCCCAGTGTTGGCTACCTAGGGCCTGTCCTGACCTTTCTTTCCTACTGCCAGGGACGCTGGGAAATCTGAGACCCTTCTGTGAATCACTAAATATCACAACTAAAAAATATGAGCTGAGTTAGATGACATCTTTGGTTAAACTCCTACCAAAATGACCTACATATTTACTTAAGTGTGGTGTCTTTCAGAACTGTACGATGTCCTGTCTGCCTTTGTCTCCACATCCCCACATTCCTGTAGATAGCTGGCTCCCCAGCTCTATCTGCAAGTGTCACCATCTCTTTTTTGTGTTGTTAAGGCAGAGTCTCCTATAGTCCAGTCTGGCCTTGAACTCACTATACAGTTTTGCATGTGCTGTCTTGATCTGTAAATATCACCTTCTGCTGCAAAGTTTTGCTGGCAAGAAACCACATTAGGTATTGTGGAGGTTCTGTGCTTGGCATTAGACTGAGGGATCAGGAACACTTTAAATAAATAACCCGGCTCCAAAGGTTGCAATCACAGGAAGAAACACTCTGGGGAAAGGTACCCAGCAAGGCTCCGGGTGCTGGCAAAGGCCGGGTGTTCTAGCATCTGACAGGTGGGAGCGGAAGGACCAGGAGTTCAAGGCCAGTCTCTGAAACACCGTTGGGCGAGAGGACATCCTAAAGGTGTCATTTCTCTCCTCCATCATGCAGGTCCCAGGGACCAAACTCAGATCCACAGATACAGCTGTAAGGGCCTCTTCCTGCTGAGACATCCCCCTGCCTCAGCTTTTCTTGCTTCTGAAACCAAATCAGAAAGCAGATCCAGGCAACAAAGTACGAAGATAGCACTTAAACCCTATATCTCCCTCTATCACAAATTACAAACAGATATAATTATAGCCTGTAATCCCAGCACCAGGAGGTACCAGCAGGACAAACAGAAGTTCAAGTTCAGCCAGGTGGTGGTGGTGCATGCCTTTAGCCCCAGGACTTGGGAGGCAGAGGCAGGTGGATCCCTGTGAATTGAGGCCAGACTGGTCTACAAAGTAAGTTCCAGGACAGCCAGAGCTGTTATATAGAAAAACTCCATCTCACGGGGCAATAGTGGTGCATGCCTTTAGTCCCAGTACTCGGGAGGCAGAGGCAGTTGGATTTCTATGAGTTCAAGACCAGCCTGGTCTACAAGAGCTGGTTCTAAGACAAGTAGGTCTACACAGAGAAACCCTGTCTCAAAAAACCAAAAAGAAGAAAGAAAGCAAGAAAGAAAGAAAGACCCTGTCTCAAAAGCAAAACAAAACAAAACAAAACAACAACAAAAAAAGTTCAAGCTCATTCTTGTTATGCAAGGAGTTCAAAACCACCCTGGGTTACTCAGACCCTGTTTTGGTTTGAAAACAAGTGGAGCTGATAAAATAATTCAGTCATGAAGACACTTACTGCCAAGCCTAATGACATGCATTTGCGCCCCCAGAACCCCCAGGGGAGAAATGACTCTTGCAAGTTGTCTTCTGACCTCCATGAGTGTACAGTGGCAGGAATGCACATGAGCGCATATACTAAATTCTTAAAAATAAATCTTCAGAGGGCTGAAGAGATGGCTCAGTGGTTAAGAGCACTGTTTGATTGCACTTCCAGAGGACCTGAGTTCAATTCTCAGCACCCACATGGCAGCTCACAACTGTCTGTAACTCCAAAATCTAACACCCTCACACCATACAGACATACATGCAGGCAAAACACCAATGCACATAAAATAAAAAATATTTTTTTAAAAAATTGATTATAGATAAATTGATTAATTGGCTGATTCACACTTTACACCTTTTGTTGCTAACTTAAAGCTAACAAACAGCTGGGCGGTTGTGTGTGTGTGTGTGTGTGTGTGTGTGTGTGTGTGTGTGTCTGCTGTATGTGCACCAGATGTGTGTAGTGCCCACAGAAGCCAGAGGCCATCATCATATACCCTTGAGCTGGAACTATAGATAGCTGTGAGTCAAACCCTGGTCCTCTGCAAGAGCAGCGAGTGTTCTTAACTGCTGAGCCATCTCTCCAGACCCTCAACTCAGTTTTTGTGCAGAACTCTTTCGCTCACATTTCGTAAGTTTCTGAGGTTTGGACAGCATCTTTTCAATTCAAGTAGATAAACAAAATGGATCTTACCTAGAATTCAGCTCAACAGGTAAAAGCTGGAATGCATGGGAGTGAGCACTGGGTGGTGAGTGAGTTCAGTGAAGGACAGGGCCGCAAGTGGCCTCTGTGGTGTTGAGTGTAAAGGGATTTTTGCACCATCTCTGTCCTTCTTGTGTCTAGGAAAGTGTCTGGACAATATGTAATTCCCCACAACTTCAGGTGTCTCTGTTAAAGGAATGGAGTGCAGGAGCACACAGCTTGTGATGTCTATGGAGGAAAGTGGCCCTGACAGCTAG